GGGAGGCTGAGGCAGGAGACTCGCTTGAGCCTAGGAGTTGGAGGTTGCTGTGAGCTGTGATGCCATGGCACTCTACCCAGGATAGCTTGAGGCTGTGTCTCAAAAAAAAAAAAAAAAAGACTAGAATAATAAAGCCAGTGGAGCCAATAAATGCCAAATACGAAGGATGTGAACACTCAGCAAAGATGAAACTTCAGGCCCTAGAATAGATTTCTGGAGCTTCCCTCCCTCCTAAATCACTTCAGTCTTTTGGATTGTGATTTACAAAAGACATATATGGGCTCAGCATCTGTAGCTCAAGTGGCTAAGGTGACACCCATATACACCAGAGCTGGTGGGTTCAAATCCAGCCTGGGCCTGCCAAACAATGACAACCAAAAAAAAAAAAAAAATAGCTGGGTGTTGTGGTGGGTACCTGTAGTCCCAGCTACTTGGGAGGCTGGGACAAGAGAATTGCTTGAGCCCAGGAGTTTGAGGTTGTTGCAAGTTGTGATACTGTGGCACTGTACTGAGGGTGACATAGTGAGACTCTCTCAAAAAAAATATAGTCATATGTGAACAGGGATACATAGGCATTTGGGCATTGTGAGAACATCATACAGCTACCTAAACACACCTAGGAGGTTTAGTCTCCTACACACCCAAGGCTATATATATGTGTAGCCTATTGCTCCTTGGGTGCAAACGTACAGAATGTAACCGTACTAAATACTGTATGGCCACATACACTGAGGCTGGTGGGTTTGAACCCAGCCTGGGCCAGCTAAAATCAACAATGACAACTGCAACAAAAAAACAGCTGGGCATTGTAATGAGGCTGAGGCAAGAATCGCTTAAGCCCAAGAGTTTGAGGTTGCTGTGAGCTATGACACGAAGGTACTCTGTTGAGTGTACTCTATCAAGCATGACGTAATGAGACTGTCTTAAAAAAAAAGTTTCAAATGCTATAGCCACACTAGTAATTCTAAGCATTTCTTCATTATAGTATTAGGTAAGAATATCCATTAAGAATCAGGCACTGCCATACTCTTTCATTAAATTGGAATATGAATATGTCTTTATTAGGATGCTCACAAGAATGAAGGACATATTAGCACTCTCCTCATGTGATAAACACATCCGACCCAACTGTGGCAGGCAACAGGGGTAAGGGCTCTCAGAGTTGCTGCCAAATGTCCATAGAAGAAATCACCAGTCACCAAAGAGAAGTTATTTCCTTAGGTTTCATTAGCTCAGCTGCAGCTGCCAGCCAAGTCTCCATGATCTTACCAGAATCATTTGTTCCAGCATCAGGTGATGCCTTCTGCCCTTGGCACACCTCTTTTTTTTTTTTGAGACAGAGTATTATGTAACCCTTGGTAGAGTGCCCTGGTGCCACAGCTCATAGCAACCCCCAACTCTCGGGCTTACGCGATCTTAAGTGATCTTCGTCTTGCCTTAGTCTCCCAAGTAGTTGGGACTACAGGTGCCTGCCATAATACAACACCTGGCTACTTTTTTGGTTGTCATTGTTTGGCAGGCCTGGGCTGGGTTCAAACCCTCCAGCTCCAATGTATGTGGCTGGCACCCTAGCCACTGAGTTACAGGCGCTGAGCCACACCTAACTCTTTCAAGACCCAGGTCAATTGCCCCTATGTCCTCGGGCCACTTCTGGAACCCTGCAGCAGATCTCTTTGGTATGCTGCTGCCCTGCCACCCTCAGGGCTACAGCTGGGGGTCAGGGAGAGAACAAAACATCACATTAGCAAAACCAAATAGCAAAGGTATATTCGTAAATGACATTTGGACATGAGACTAACCTCACAGAGAATATGCCTCCTCTCCAAATACATAATCCCCCAGAGAGCAGAGAAAACCCCCTCGTCATTTTGACGTATGTGAATAATGCTGTATGTGAGGCACAAGGTATATGAAAAATGGATGGTGTTGACTTCCATCATATCCTGCACACAGTAGGAAGTTAGCAGACAAACAGTGGAATCATCCCTATCCTGGTTCCATCAGGTTTCTCCTGGCTCTTCATGTTTTTTTTTTTTTTGAGACAGAGCCTCAAGCTGTCCCCCTGGGTAGAGTGCTGTGGCTT